TGTTCAGTTGTTAACTCTCCAACCGTTTTCTTATGCTGGTTGTACTCCATCTTCACATCATTTAGAGTTCAATAACAAGAATATGCTCTTCAAGATTTCTTCAACAAAAAAAAATCTTGAAGAGAAGTTAACCAAACAAACTAAAAATAAAAGAAAAAAATTAAAACTAATTCCTGAATTAGCACTACAAACTACTTCAAACACCATTGATTGCCAATCCCCGGCAACGACGCCATTTGACGAGCGCAAAACACACACTTAAATTGTGCTCGCTAGTCAAAGATAGTATAGTATGATATAGTCTCCACATGGATTGAATTTAAACAGTATTCTCGTAGTTTCTAGCTTGATCGCTATCCAGGAGGATCAACAATGGGGATTTATATAATTAACAATCTAAAATCTACAGCTATTTACTAATGACAATCGCAACAAAGGTAAGCAAGGGAGTTATTAATGGGAAAAAATATAAGCTGATATGATAGGTGCAAGATAATTGTTTGGGATCTAACTCTAGATAATTCACTTCTAATGTTCAAGTGAGTCTCTTGAATTCACTTAATTATCAGTACAATTGTTTAGTAGAAACTCCTCTCTCGATTAAGTCTCAACCTCACAATATAAACCAATTTAAGCTCGGTGAAGATATGCAAGAATTCGTAATAAATTGGTCTTTAAGAGAATCTCTTTCGATTATCCTCCTAACTAGGTTTAATCAAGGATTCAACTAGCCTCTTTCGATTACTTAGAAGAATTTATGAACTCAACCAACAATATAGTGCAAATATATCACAAGTTATGCCTCTCTATTACAAGAACACGTGAACATAGATGCAACAATTAAATCTTCCCAAAATGATTCAATTACATAATAATACAGTTATAATTCACAAACAACTATCAATACATCAAATCCATCAAAACCTAGTTGGATCTACTCCATAAACATGGAGAAGTTCTTCACAAATGAAATAAAAATATAGGAAAACTTAAATACAATCCAAACCTGGATCTTGAGTACGGAATGAATGATGAAATCCTTATGCTCTTGCTTCTCCTTAGCTTCCTTAGGTCTAATTTATGTCAAAAATCCAGAAATGGTGTTTTCCCCATGTATTTAACTATCCCCCAAATGAACCCCGGACGAAAATACCCCTTTTAGCGGAATTGGGAACATACTCTAAGAATTTTGCACTACCGCTCCGCATGCCACGCCGCACCATGCGACGCGCTAGTGGCAATTTCCAAAACAATTTACAAAATGGATTCTAGGCATATTTTGCACAGCCGCGCCGCACTATGCGACGTGGAAGTTGGGAATTTGGGAAAATATAAAACATGAGAGTTTTAGCCCTTTTAAATAGCTTTCCAACAATATATTTTGGAGCCCAAACGGATTTCTGAGCGAAAGGTTATGTGCATTTTACTAGACAATGCGCAGTATGCCTGCTTGATTCTTCGTTTCGTTCTTAAAGTGCACTATCATCTATTGATCCCCGAACATGATCCCAACATAATCCTTGGGCTTTTACTCAGACTTCAAAGCTCCAAAATAGCTTGAATTCATTCCATAACATCTACATAGATCGAAATCACTCATACAAGGCATAAAACACACAATTAGTGCAATCACTAGCGATTAAAGCTCAAACTCAATTAAAGTGCAGTAAATTGGAGTGCAATAAGCGACTAAAACACAGGATTATAGACTACTATCAGTAATCTAGAGAATAATTCATCAACTGTAGATACAGTCGGACTAGCCAAAATCTAGTCACGTACTGAATCAAGGTCGTTAGGAAGTCCAGCGAGTGTAAGAACTAGAAATATCTGCTGTCGTTGCTCTTGTTGCTTTTCAATACTAGCAGAAACTGGCAACAACTTCTCAAATTCTTCCATAACTGCCTGTACTTGTCCCAAGTAAGTAGACATATCTGATTGATGTTTCTTCAAGCTTGTCATTCGCGATATTACATCATAGAAACGAGATATGTCATTAGTATATAAAGTACGAGTCTTTTCCCAAACTAAATAATATGCCTGGAATGGGCGAAACAAAGGCATCAATTTGGAATCAATAGATTGCTACAAGATACTACATAACTGAGCATCGATCTTTTCTCATTATGCTTTGGCCTTTTCATCTCCCTCACTAGCATTTTTGGTTAAGTGGTCTCGAACACCTTGACTCTTGCACCACAACTCAATAGAGGAAGCCTAAGCTAAGTAGTTTGAACTTTCCATTAAGGGATCTGAAGTAATCATGAAGCTTGAATTTGCAGAACCCGTACTTTTAGAACCAAATACATCAATTCCCAAAGACAAGAGAGAAGTCTAGAAACAAGTAATAAAAATAATCAATTGTATCTTGCTGAAACATGGAAGAAAACACTGTTTTTTGTCGGAAAATCACTACTTCTGCGGGAAACAATCACTGTAGCTGCCTAAAAAAATTGAAAGTGATCGGAATAAAAATAAAATATAATGGGTAAGATCGGAATTGACAGTCGAACACACTGTCCCAAAGAACTTTCGTAAAAAGCTGACCAGAACACAGTCCACGTGCCGGCGCTTGTGACAGATGCACTGCCGGTGTCAGATATTCAACGCACGTGTGACGGCGCATGTTAGGGTTTCTGCCATGGTGATTTCTTGGGGTTTGGTCGCCGGAGCCTTCAGAGTATGTTGGTGGTGTTGGGTTTAGCACAACACTCACCAATAGGGAGGTGACACAATTAGATTTGGAAAAAGTCGTCGAAAATTGATGCATAGTGACTGTCCGACCTTTTTGGAGTTTCTCACCGATGCTCTGATACCATGTGAAAATTATATTATTGATGTATTAACAATGATACAATGAGTCCTATATAATACATGTTCTACTCCTACTACATAATGGATTAGGGTTATTTATATATAATTATTTAACTAACAAACTAACATCAAGTATTCAAGATCAAGAACAAAGTCAAACCAAATACAAGGCCTTCAAGATCAAGGCTACTTGTTCGTAATAAAATTCGTGGCAACAATCAAAGTGTTCGCGACGGATAAATCAAATTCAAGATCAAGCTCAAAGGCCCTTGGATTTATATTGAAAAAGCAGAATCAGAGGAATCATAGAGATTGTACACTCATATTACTTGAAATCAAATACTACAATTGTCATAATATTGTTCGGTCTTGATTTTATTAGCTTGACGCAATTTTATTGTCTACAGCTACAACTAAAGGTTGTGTTATGATAGAAATAATCAGGTGTCATGCGGAAGCTAGAAAGCAAACCTTGAACGACGATAAACCAGACAACAACAAAAAAATATACCAAAAGAGACACAAATATTTAACGTTGTTCGGTCAATTAGCTTACGTCCGTGACGGAGATGAGCAATCCACTATATAAAAGAGAGTACAAAATATCAAGAGAACAACCTCACGAAGAGGCAAATACAAGTGACACACTAACACTTATCCCGAAAAGTTCTCCCCCTAAACAAGACTCTCAAACTACATTGTGGATGCTACTGAATGAGAAGGAATGATACTCAATTTATAGAAGTCTAAATCTTTTCCTCCAAAAAAACGGACTAGCGAAATATGGAGATTTATAATTTCCTTCTAAGAAAAGAAAAACTTAATTATAGTAAATATGTTGTCATTTCCTTCAAAAGATAAGAATACCAAATAGGATAAGAAAATCAGGACAAACACCTAACGGGTTGATGGCTAACTCATTTTATAAAGCTTTTAGCCTTTCGCATTTGAGGGCGAGGGTTCAAATTTGAGTATATTTCATGGCTGGTCATTCAGATTTATGTTCATTACTCAAAAGTCATTTTTTTTCTTTTATTATATAAAAGTCATTCAATTTGCGTTAATTACCCAAAAGTCACTTTTCTTTCTTTTATTACACAAAAATTATTTTACTTTGCTCTAACTATCACAAAAGTCACCTCGGCTAAATTTTATAGTATATTTACTTGAAAAGTTTATTATGTCATTCACACTATAAATTTTCCCATTTATGTAATACCTTCTATATTACATACTATATAATATATTTTTACATAGGTATTTTAATTATAATTAAATAACTTTATATAATTTTATTTATTATTTATATAATATAGTCGTACATTAATTTTCTCATGGCACTCAATTTGTTTAATCATAGTCAAACATGAACATATTTTAAAACATAAAAACGAAAAATATTTATTTTTAATATTTATTTGAAATAATAAAAATAAATTTGTTTAACAAATGATAATTTTTTTATTGTAAGTAAAACTTTTTTCTAAAAAATTCAAAGATATTTGTGTTTAATATTAAGTTTTCGAAACTTTATCTGTTAATATTATTTATTTGAAAGTGTTAGCGTGATGTGCCAGTATACTAAATGTAGGTATTTTTTTTTATTGAATTAATGAATATGGCTTGGTTGATAAATCTGTGAGCTTTGATTTTATAATTTTTATTAAAAATAATTTATTAGACATGGTTAAGAACGTTGACTTAAGATTTTTTTATAGTAATGTTACTAACAAATTTAATAATGCTACCTATACATCTTAAAAAGTAACATTAAGGGAAAATTAAATGTATGAATATATTATATAAAATAAATAAAATACTATAAAGTTATTTTAATTATAAATAATATACCTAGATAAAAATATATTATATAGTATATAATATAGAAGATATTATATAAATAGAAGGAATTATAATGTCAAGGGTATAATAGACTTTTCAAGCAAAAGTAAAGTGACTATATATTATAATAACTAGAGCATATAATTTTTGTAGAAAGAAAAATGACTTTTAGGTAATGAACACAAACTTGACTAACCACCTATGAAATTTACTCTTCAAAATTCATTAATACCGTGCCATCTCCTTTCCCTTTTATCTCCTCGGGGCTCCCCTTCTCCGAACTCGAAGTGGAGGGTTCAAATCTATTAATAGCGGGACGCACCACATATATAGGACATACATACTACAATAATTAAGCCCAACATTTTTAAAGAACAATAGATGAATAAGCTCATAAGCACTAGCGCTGGTCTTTTCCGAAACAAGTTACAGAGGGAAAATACAAAAAATTTAGGAGATTAATCTTTCACATGATAGTGCATGCATGTGGGTTGTCATCACTGAAAAGAGAAGCAACAGCTTCATCTGAAGCCACGGCAACTGAGTAAACTGCAGGAGTGTGAAAGAAAGTATGAACACTTGGGGCTGCAACATTTCGAGATGTGTCGTAGTAATGGCTGATGATGTGATTTGGGTACTGATAAAATGAAGTAAAATGTGAGTACCCTACTGGATATGGCCATGGCTCTGCTGCTTTCCCTGCTTTCTTTATTGCCTTTAGCACCTTCTTCTCTTCCAATCCGTAGCCTCTTACTGTAACTTTCTGTGTCTCCATATCAATGTCTATATCCTCTACTCCTGAAATTTCATCTCAAGAAATAAGAAATATATANCTGTTTCACGAGATACTTGTTTACTTTGACCAACACAAATATTGGAACTTGGATAAGCAAACCCGAATAAATAATCACCCAGTGTCGTTTTATGTTTCTAATATGATTTGTTCAAATTATATACATTCAACATAAAGTCAATTCTGTGGGAAATCTCTCATAGCTAGGCATGTGATATATCCTAATCCTGTCATGTTTCCATTTAATTTGAAACTACCATTTTAATTGGACTTGACATAATTGTTCTGCCCCCGCTTGCTTTTCAATGTGTTCCAGTTTCGTTTTGTGTATGATTTATTATTCTTTGCTTGTAATTTCTCTGTACATTCTTTGATGTCAGTTCAAATCTCACCAAAGGTTTCTTCTTTTCTTGTTATTTAAGGTCTCTCTTCTTCCAAAAGTATGGGGGGAAAAACAAAAGAAGAAAGAAAGAAAAAAATGCAAAATAAATACACCTAAAAAGTCCAAAGAAAAGAAGTAAAGAACAGGGGTCAAGGGTCAACTTCAAGACTCGCGATTGAGAAGAGACGGCGCTGCTACTCTTCAGTCAACACTATCTATCCCATTATAGCAATTTTTGTTCCTAATAAATAAATTCTACTGATATTGTATAACAGTTAGAAAGTAGAAACATTTGTTTTGAGATATCAGTATTATTATTCTTTTGTTAATTTGTACCTAGAACCAACTTAATCTTATCCATATAAATTTTTTAATTTCGCATTCATGTACTCGAAAAAATTCTCCTTTTTCTAATTAGTATTCGTAGTAGTACTGCTATTCTTCCATTTTTAAGGAGGACACTTCAATAACCCTTACCACTCATTTGTACAGAAAAGGAAAAGCAATTTATATCCTCCACTTATACATACAAACGAAAAACTCGTTTTTTTTTATTGCGACTGACCTTTGAGCTTGAAAAGAGCTTTTCTTAGCTTTGCAGCACATCCTTCACAATCCAAGTTTGGAACTCTTACCTCCACCATCTGCATAACATAATATAATTCCATCCACATTCTCATTCCAAAATTATACATATAACAGAGAAAGAGAGACTTACAGACATGTTGATGTAACAAAATTGTTGTTTGATTAAATTCAAGATTTTTGAGAAAGAGATGTAGGTCTGGTCTTCAATACGAAGAAGACCTAACTATGGTCAGTCAACAGAACTCTGGCTCTCCTTAAATTTATTTCAAGTAGTAGGTTCTGATGAAAGAGCTACCTATCCTTTTTTTTATTAATGTAATTTACAATTGTTACGAGTCACCTAACACTAAGGTTGTATTTACGAAGCCAGAGCTTCGACAGAAGTACTAATTACTGCTCCCTTCCTCATAGCTGAATGTTGCATTGGGTTTTGAAATTTGAGAGATTTCACGCGTGGACTGTGTTGGCGTGATGATCACCTTTTACCCCCAACCACCCCAATGGCCCAACCCCACAAAATACCTTTTCTTTCGCAACACACACTATTCACAGAAAGATCTGAATTTGCTTCAGCTTTATTTTCTATAAAAAGTTATCGAGACAAAGATACTATTTCATGTATTCAATTAAGTTGACATCTGGACCACCTCTAGCTACTGCCAAAATTGTTATTGCATGCTTCAATGCAATTCTTGTACAGAATTCCCAATGTAATTCTTTCGGATCTAATTTTTGGAAGCATTAGGTTTCTCGTATAAAGACAATTTAACATATCATCAACTCTAATTGTCACACAGCCTAAGCACAATAATTTGAGCGATGAGGTAAGAACTGTCGGATTATCAGCCTTTCAAAGTCGGGACCAGCAGATAAACTGTGTGAAAGTGAAATTCATACTAAGTATGGACTGTATATATGATGAGAATATTCTTAGAAAAGGCTGCAAGAAAATGACATAAAGAAGAAAGAGATTTTCCCAAAGAAAATCAGTCTTTCTGCCTCTTTTACTATTATAGTGAATCATTTTCATCTGGCCCTTTTAGTACTGACAAAGGCGAGAATGCTAATAATGCGTAAGCTCTATTTGGTAGAATGATTGTAACCAATATGATGGAGTTCTGTAATGATGCTGGCTGCCAATAGCATATCAAGCACAATTAATTATGTGCTGATGTTTTTTAATCGCCAGTAATTTCAAAATTTTGAGCCTCTGTGTTGTCACAAGAAAACGTTCTAAGTAATTATTACTTTAACTCCCAAATACTATTAGTGAAGGCTTGTTAGGATCAACTGCTTCCCAAAAGCTATAGTCCAAGCAATCGTCATGTTCAATCGTGATTCCGACCCGAGCCACCCAACTCTCTCGTGGGCTTTGCCAGGATGTTGACTTTATCCAATAATACCCTTCCAACATGCCTCATGCAGCGTGTTATTCACGGGGATCGAACCCATGACCTTGGCTCTGATATCACTTTTAGGATCAAGCGCTTACTATCGTGCCAAAAATTATTGGTGATAGTAGGCACACAACTTTATTTCTTGACCAAGCTCACCAAGCAAGCACCATGCTTGACCATGACTCTGCCTTGTGCCACCTCAGCCCCTCGCAGGCTTGCTATATGCAGGATTTTGGCGTACCCAACTAGGCTAAAGAGAGTCAAATTTTTAACAAGCTTTCGGTAATACAAAGTGGCTACTGTTAAATGTACACACTACTCACTCTGGTCCACTTTAATTTATTTTTTTGGATATTTTCACACATATTAAATAATTCACTTTTTAACATTAATTAATAATAAAATTAACTATATTAATCTTAATTTGTTCATTGAAAATATAACAAATACTCACAGGTTCTTTACTCCAAGGACAATTTTGAAAAAAAAAAGTTAACTCGTTCTTGATATCTGAAAAAAGTTAAATATTGTGGATCACAAAATAAAAACCTAAAAATCAATTAAGGTGTACCGGAGGAAGTAAAACATATAAGTGGTAACAAAAATCATCTTTCCATTTAAAAAGATAAAAAATTGTTCCTGAGTTGAAAAGCTAATTCTAAACCAAATTCCATGCCAAATGACCTTCAGAAAGTTTTTCTCAGTTCTCAGCTGGTGCTAAATGTGAGGTAATTCCATATAAACATCTTTCAAATCCTAATGGAGATATAACAAAATTTGCTAATTCTACTTCATATATAGACGGCAAGTTTTGACCGTTGAACTTCAAATTAGAATTTGTATACAATTAATGATACGCATATTATTGAAGATGACCAATTTTTCGGATTAAGTTTACAAGTTTTCAGAGACACAGAGTTCCAAATTAATGGTATTCATAAGGTTTAGACAGTGAATGAATTAAAGATGTGCATATTTTGGAAGACACGAGGTTTCCAGCTTAATACTTCAAACTAATGCTTTTTATATTTCCCTTCACTGCAGAAAAAAAAGGGATGTGTTTTACCAAAAAATATGGATCTTGGTTCAAATAATTAAACTTATATTAATAAGGGTTAATATTAGCTAACAATAATATTCTTAGATAAAGTTCTTAAAGAAGCAATGAATATCACGCAGATACGGTCGGACAACAGTGGTGGCATACAATAAATACTCTAGAAATCAGAAGCAATTATGTAGCATTCAATATCAATGAATAGCAATAAATGACATTTAAGTAAATAAAATGAATGAGTCACCCAAGAAAGAGGGGAATAAGTGGATCTTCTTTACGACAATACTGATGAATGATAGACAATCCTTTGAATATTCGAGTTGTTCTCGGATCTGGTGGAAAAGTATAGATAAGAATCTCAATGAAAATGTGATGTTTGTATCTTAGCAAAGAAGATTTGATTCTCTTTCTTAAGTCAAAGTGTGTTTTTAACAAATGAATATCGCATGTCCTCTATCATTGTATTTTTTTCTATTTATAGGGAACATGCTCCTAAAAACCCTAATAATACAAGTGCAGAGAATATCCACTACAATATTCTCTTTAATATCCTATCTTGAAACTAACCGTTATTACTATGACAAAGATACTCGACCTCGGCCTCGACCCTTGTTGACATCTCGACTTCGACCCTTGTTGACTCTTCGACCACAGATTTCGCCGCTTCTTGGGCCGTTTCGACAAACGACGACTTGGGAACTTTTCCCCTAGTACTATCTTGGTTTAAATATTCTAAAGATAGATTTTGACCCATATAGTTAGTCCCTCCGTTTATTGAGGCCGGCTTCAGGCAGATTTGATGAGCGGATCTTGTTCTTTGTGGTTGAAACAACCGAGCGATGATGAACCGTTTTCAGTTCTATGGCAAGACCTTTATAAATAGAGGTTTTTGGATGAGATTTTGAGTTTTAAGTTTCCTGTTGTTTCGAAACCCCATATTCTTCTCTTGCTCTCTTCTTGCTTTGAACTTCTCTTCTCTATTCCAGTGATTTGTATTGTTCTAAACTCTTCCTCGTTTAATACCTCTCTTTCCCACATTAAACTATGTCTAACGTATATTCCGAGCCTGGTGAGGGAAGTCATGTGGCCCCCTTGGCAGTGGTGTTTCATGTGTCCTCTTTGGCAGTGGTGTTTCCCTCCCTTGAGGAGGGCGTTCCTGCCGCCGTTGAGGATGGAACCTTTCCGTCGGTGGAGGAGATAATTTCATGCAATCCTGATTCCATATCTGATTCCACCAAATCGCCTGATGCTGAACCTGGAGCTATTCGGTCAGTGATGACAGTGAAAGAATTAGAAGAGCTTAAGGCTAAATTTGGCCTTTCCAATCATATTGAGTTAATTCCGGCTGGGTGGGATACAATGCAGGTTCACCGTCCTGGGTATTGCGCCTTCTACGCCTATCCCTTCCAAATCGGTTATTCCTTTCCTCTCCTATCGTTGTTCGAGGAGTTCTGTCATTATTACGGCATTTGCCCAGCTCAACTTGCACCTTATGTCTACAAGCTTATAAAGATGCTTACAAAATTTGTCGAGCTAGCCGAGGTCGAGTTGACACTTCGGCACTTAATACACATGTTCGCCCCTAACTATTATAGGGGAATGTTGTTGAATCTTTGCCAGCGAGGGGGAAAGTGCTTGGTTGTGAAGATGGACGACAAAGCCAATCGTCAATTCTGGTTCAAATTCTTTTTTAATAGAACCGAAGACGTGGTGGCCAATGTTGACGGTTTTCTTGAGACCTAGAATTATACTCGTAAGTACCTAATTTCCTTGTCTGTAGGTATCCAATTTTTCTCTTATGCTTGGTCGCGGGTTTTGATCTCTTGTCTTCTTCTCATGTAGGTAAGACCTCGCCTCTTCCCTCACATTGTAGGGATTCGTGAACGACCTAGTTTTTTCAAGAAGTTTGGGCTTGTCCTCCCTTCGATTGGTAAGTTCTTTTTACCGCCGGTATCTTAGCTTTTTTTTGTTTACCTTTGCTGACTTTTTCCTTTCCTTATGTTTTCATATCTTCGGCCAGGAGGTCTTCGAGGAGGTCGAGAGCTCCCGCGCCCTCGTTCCGGAAGAGGAAAGCTACTACGTCTTTGACTCTTGCTCCTTCCGCAATATTCGACTCTTGCTCCTTCCTCGACTGCGGTTGATCCTACTTTTGTCCTGGTCCCTCCTGTTGCTGCATCCAAACCTGTCCCTTCTTCGTCCGTGGAGACTTCGGTCGCGGAGACCTTGGCTTCTCCCTTATATGTCCTTATAGAAGAGGATGATGAAGCCTTGCCCGGTGATGGAGATTTGATACCTCATAAGAGGAGGGTCGTGGACGTTAGGGGAGAGAGGTTGGCGGCCGCCGATGTAGGAGACTACGGTTTTTTCCTTTGGGATATGGCCACAATGCATATCAGGGAGGCTAGTTCCAAGGCCATTTGTTTAGAGGATGCGGATACATGACCTATGGGGGAGACGGTCGCAGGTGTGGTAGGCAGTGGCGGCCTTGTTCTTCCAAGACGTGAAAAGGCCTCGTCCTCTGAGGTTGCAGCGAACGTACCTTCTTCAAATGATGATAGAGGGAAGGTTGTTGCTAAGGAGGATATTGGATCCGATTCCGACATGGATGTAGACGAGCTGAGGATGATCGAAGAGGGGCTCACTTAGCCTGAATTGAGGTTGGAGGGGGTTTCAAGGACTATTACGATCCCGATGGATCGTAATCTTCTTGTGGATACCGAGAAGATTATCACTTCCCTTGTCCCTCTTAGTTCAGAAGTTGAGGGTACGACCCTCAAGACTATGAATGATAGCGACCTGTCGAACAACATTGTCAATCTCGCCCTTCGAGTAAGTACATTTGTTATCCATTATTTTCCTTAAGTTTTGTC